CAATTGACTAAACTGCTACTCAAAATACAGTAGCAGTTTAATCAATTGTTGTTGATTGTGTCTCAGGTCTTGTTGCATCAGTTGAACGTGAAGATGAAAGTGTTAAGACAGAGGACGGCTAAAAGACAAATCAGAGGCCGAGTGGGGAGGGGGATGAAGTACCTGTCCTGAGGCAGAGCTGGTCAAAGTCCGAGCAGCAGCTGTTGTACGTCTTACACAGGTTGTCACAGCGACAGTTTGGTGGATCCAACTCAACCAGCTCGAAACACCTGTTCCTGCAGGAGCCGGACGTCGGTACATACTGAGCGGCAGAGCGAGCTGAGGACCACAGAAAGAAACGGGTTTATTTTAAATTTCAAAAAATCAGGTTGAAGCTGCACTGAATATCTTCACACAACTGAAATATAGACACAGTGTGGATTACATGTTAATTTCTGCATTCGTTGTCCTCTGAGAGTCAGTCAAACAATCTATTAATATTTGTACAGTCCACAAATCACAGTTTGTCTCATTGGGCTGAACAAGGTGCAATGTTGTCTGTTCTTAACAAGAATGAGAAAAAAAAAAACTTTTAACAGTGGAAAAATATATAGCAACCTCAAAGTAAGAGACATGTGAGGGATCCCGCTACGTGAAACAGAGCAAATCAACAAAATAATAATATTTACAACATTGATGAGAAAAGACAGTCTAACATAAATATCCTGAGCTCAGCAGTGAACAAATACTAGTACCAGTAACCTGGTAACTCAACTAATCATGTACAACATTCAGACATTATTGGATGTATGATAAATCATTCAACGTAATTCTATTTTTTTTTTCCTCTAGAGTGAAATTAAGTTTATAGTTACATTATTTCTTATTTCTTATTTTAAGTCAGTGAATTATTATTCTATTACAGCAAACTGACCACAGATCTGTCATTAATGATCCACCCACGTCTTTGCGGAGATGTCTGCCGCAGCATCTGTTGGAAACACTGTGACTGTATTCCAGCCTGAATGTGGACTAATGAAGTATGTCCTCATGTTGTTTGAATCTGTAACTGTTTAGAAAACTCATGTAAGTTTTGGCACAGATTCTAAAATCTAGTGTGCAGACTCTACTTTTCCATCTCAATTTAAAACATTTCAAACAACAGTGACCTGGATAGAAATGTTGGCATTTGGCCTCTGACCACAACAACAGAATCCAAGATTAATAAATATGAATGACTCTATATGAAAATTAAGCCCGATGAAAAGCTCCACTGTTCTCATGTCATTATATAAAATGAAAACCAGCAACCTACAATGACATTCACTCATAAATACAGCAAATTGGTTACATAACTATTTGGGTCAAAACATAATAAAATTAAGCCACCAAAGTAAAAAAAATGGCAGACCTCAAACGTCATAATAAACATTAACTGGTAAAAGTACCTGCATGCCAAACTCAATAGATGGTTTCTTTTTTTTTTCTCAGGTCCCAAACTGTGGTAATTCTATCTCACTGTGGGGACACTTAAACACAGTATGGCTCCTGTCAAACAGGAGACAAACAGGGGTTTAACTCAGTTCACATTTTGATTTGTCATAGAAAGAAAAGCCCACGTATTAATAAAGCATTAACAATGGCTCCATTCTATTCTTAGTGTGCCAGTGAGCCAGCGAGCACAGTGCCAGCACCCTGAGACTGAAGCTGCCAAATGGAATCCAGCCATCGTCCATGTTTTTATTTTACACCTGTTCATTGGAGAGTCACTCCATTACAATCAGGACAAACCATGTGAACGTCAAATGTGGTGCAGAATTTCCTCATCACTCAGTGCTGCCTCTGCTGGCCACTTCCTTTACACTTGGATCTACTTTACTGACAGAGGCCTTTCAGAGTAAAATCCTTTCCCCACCTTACATGTGGATAATATAAAAGAAGATGACTTATACGTTTATATTTTAAATGTAATTGTTAATGTAACAAATGACCAGATCCTGACAGGAAGCAGGACTCAGATCGAAGTGTACGGTGTTTGAAAAGCTTCTATTTTGTTCTGGAACGATGAGATTAAACCACTGACAGTTAAAATAAGATATTGAATACTATATTATATACGGATTACTTTGAAAGGATAATTACAATCTTGTTTGGGATTTATGGTGATATTTAAGTTGAATAATAATAATGATAATCGTTATTATTATATATTCATTATATTACTAATATAATTCTCCCCTCTTTTTCATCCACCTCTCCTTTCTCCCTCATCTTTCTTCTCTCACCCCAACCGGTCGAGGCAGATGGCCGCACACAGGAGTCTGGTTCTGTGAGAGGTTTCTTCCAGATAATGAGGGAGTTTCTCTCCCTCTGTAGTGCTTTCAGCTGTTGTGTCTCACTATAATTTCCGTCTCCACCTCAGTATATGAGGTGCCTTGAGATAATGTCTATTGTGAGGCAATGAAAACACTGATTTATGGTTCATAAGGAACCACAATCGACAGACAGCACCGCGGCGAGGCTGAGATAGCTGAATACATCGTGGTCGACAGGGTTTGAGAAGGTGGAGCAGAAAATGAGCTCTGATGCTCTCGTAATATTGACGCAAGGGCAGAGCAGCACAAACACACTCTCTCTCCTGTAAAACACACACACACGAGCTGTCCAATCAGGACTTTGCAGGGTCACAGTGATCTACTGTCCACGCACGCCGCGCTCACTCATTTCATATGCGCTGGCAGACGCTTCATATAGAAAATAAGCTTGCAAATAAACGGAGCAGGAGAAATTCCTCTGGAGCTGCAGCTGCTGGTGAGGGGTGGTGTTGCTTGTGTTCGGAGGAGCAATCTCTGACACAGCTGGGGACAGATGTGTGTCACTGTATGTTCGAAGCTCACTCAGGATACAGGATACACTGTTTTTTATGTGGGTCTTGGAGCGTTGACGTGTCCTCCCTACACTTGTCTGAAAGATATCAGTGTCACTAAATTAAAGGTACACTGTGAATGAATTTGTCACTTGCTGTTTGTAAACATTCAAATTTGACTCCTCGGCTCAATGAGTGAGAGAGAGAGCTTAGTCGAGTAGTGACTGAAGAAAGGGAGCCGTGTTATTCAGAAGTAGTTCAAGTAAGCTGCTTTCAGACGTGCACTAGACTCCGCAGTTCCTCTGTATTTTCTCCGGAGGAGGTGCATGTGTGAAAGCAAATGTCCGAGCGAGACGCTCCGAAGGTTCTACGGACTTTCTCCGCCTGGCCTCCTAGTGTTAGTCTGCAGCAATTCAGGAGAAGTCACTGTGTGGATGCAGTAGAGGATTCCCCGCTGGATTCACCGTGAGTTTGGGGGATGATAAAAAACGGTGAAAAAGCGATGACACACATAGAAGATGTTAAGAGAGTTTGTGGTGATAAGAACTGACGACGCTCCACAACAGAGTTAATCCATCACTTTCTGTCTGTCTGCTGCACCCGGCTGCTCCACCTCACATGAATAATGTGGAGGATTTGTTGCTGTTGTGAACGCATCTGTGCAGAGAACCTCCTGCTGTGTTGTGCTAACTCTGTAGCCAAGTCTCTGGATTTTACCTGGACGTCATGTCTGAAAACAGCTGCAGTGTTCTCAATCCAGCTCTGTCTGGCTGCTGACTACCTGCACAAAAGTGAAGCCACAATGCCCAACACTGCTGTGTTTGTACCTGAACAGGAAGGAGATATTACCTGGTTGCGCACGGCTCCAAAGATTACACCACACCAAACATTAGAAAACACAGGCAGAGGACACCAACACTTGTTGTGGGTTGTAGGTGATGGTGTGATAGTGATCACTGTAGTATGAGTCTATATACATTGTGTTTTAAACCATTTTCAGACATGACCTCCAGAGGATATCTGAAGAATTGGGTCCGGACTTTCTGTGGACATTTTACACATGAACAACGGAGCCGGACGCATTCACAACAACACAGTAATTAAGGTGAAGGGGGGTCACATGTTGTTGTTTGCAGCACATCGACACCAGCTCTTATCTAAAGCTCTTTGCCACTGTCTTCTACGTGTATGCCACCTTTTCCTTTTACCTTTTTCATCATCAACACTACCACTTGTGAATCCTGCGGAGGATCTTCTTCCGTGCTCTCACTTCAGCTCCTCCTGATTTTCTGCAGACTTTACACTGGGGGGACTGACCGGAGACAATCTGCAGAAAGTCTGGAGGCTCTCACTCTGACATTAGCCGCTCCGGAGAATATCCAGAGAATCTCAAGAGTTCAGTGCATGTCTGAGAGCAGCTTTACTTTGTAGGACTGCAACTAGCAATTGTTTTAATTATGGATTAACTCATATTTAGATTATATATTTTTAAATCAACTTATCAAATGTTCAAACACTTTTCATGCTCTGCTGAGGACTTTTATGTTTTAATGTTATATTTGTATAAATCCGATTTTGCCGACATTATATCAAAGGGAAAAAAAGCTGATTCCCAGATGTTCTTGATTTTTTTTTTCTTTTCCGTTGTGCGGATAACCTTTGCTCTTGTTTACTACCTACAATGAGTTCAGAGGTCAAGGTCAGATTAGCCCCCCCCCGAAGCTGAGAGGGTTCTGGTGTTTTTTTCAAGGCCGCCTCACTTGTTGTGTGAATGTTTTGCTGGCTCGGGGTCAAGCAGTTCAAAGACGGTTTGTTTCTCAGTAAGAAAAAGAAGAGAGTACTCACACTCTGTCCTGGCCGAGGTCCCATCCTCTCCTGAGCGTTTGGGCCGGTCGTACACGAACCCCAAACACACGTCAGTGCCACACAGGATGGATAGGATCCAAACAAACTGCCACAACAACACATCTGACATTAGAAACACATTTTGTAACTGATACGTAGGCTAATCACATGTAGATTAGACAGTTTTATCTTTGAGTTTTGTATTCTCTGTAGTTTGCAGAGTGTTTCAAACAGCCATGTCTCCTGCTTGTTTAGTTTGTTGATTTAACATTAATTAGGGTGCAGGTCTTGTGTAGTTCATCGTCTGTCCCAAAATTCCACGTGTATTTTCAAAGGTTTGTGAAGCATCACACATCATGACACTGGGACAGATCCACAGAGGTGTTTTTTTATTGTTGGTGGTGTAACACATGTCCTGCTGCTGCCTGCAGGATAGAAACTTCAAAGTGAGGCAGGACCACCCGCATCCGCATAACAATGACAGTTTGATGAATCACTTGGAAATGAATGACGGATCCACACATTGTTCTGCAAATGCTGAGCAGCAGGAAGGCAAGAAAAGCAAAGGAGGCACTGAGAGAAAAGAAGACTAGCACATCAGGAAAAAAATTTCTTTCAGCCACAATCACTGACACAAATTGACAAATTACGCGGGTCAATTACGCACGGTTTTACGCACAGCAGCGTCCATATTGCGCAGCTAAAAGGTGTAGACGCGGACTCTTACCGGTTTGTGCAGCAACATGTTCCACTGGAGGGGGGAGCGCAGTGTTGAGCCGTGGGTGGGAGAGTGACTGATGCTGAGTCCGACAGAGGAGGACCACCGGAGAGGAGGACCGTGGAGGAGAACTGGAGGGGGGTTGTTCTTATTGGAGGTGCCCTGGAGGAGGAGGGCTTTCAGTCGGCATGTAGATGATACACAGAAAACAACTTTCTGAGGTGGTCTGAGACGCATGAAGCCGCATTGTTTTATCAAACGTGTCCTGGAGAATTCCGCTCCTGAATCATACACTTCTATTTGTTTCTCACAGTTTGGGTTCTGATTTAACTCCCACACAGCTCCACATACCATGAGCACAAGTCTACAACTGAAAACCAAACGTTTTCTACTTGTAACCTTTATTATTTGACTGTGTTGTGTAACTTTTATGACTGTGGTTGAAAGCTCAGGAAGAGGACTGTGATTGGCCTTTGAATAAATGAGTACATGTGAAATAAAGTCCACTGGACCACTGTGTACTCATCAAATAAAGTCTTTCTGCTGCAGATCACAACAAATAAAAACGACAGAGACCAACTGCAATGTGTGAACATGTACAAATGAATGATGGTAATAATAATGATAATAATAACAGGATAGCATGTGACTGGAGCCACTGTGTGTCATATATAGACATCACACAAAATAGCAACTATTCACCTGTAGAAGTATGAGGAACACTGTTTAATTCATTGGGAGAAGCAGTTGGCCAATGAGTTTTGTCTTGCGGAATAAAACATCAACAGAAATTTTGCCACAGTTGAGAATGTGTTCAAATTAGTTTTTTTGTATCTTTATCAGGATTAGTTTTATTGCCATGTTGCATGCACAGTAAGTTGCACACAATTGAAATTTACCTTGCTCTCCCTCAGATCACACACACACTCACAACACATGCATTACAGAGGGAGAGCAGGGCAGCCACTATACGGCGGCCATAGAGCAGTTGGGGGTACTGTGCCTTGCCCTCCGGTTCCCAGGACGGCTCTCCCTGGACTGCGCCACCACCCCTCTATGGAGAGTTGTAGCATCTCAGGTAAAAACATCTGCCTGAGAGATCCCATCAGTGGTCACCAGTAAGTACAGGTCTGAATGGAAACAAATTTGTCCTCAATGCGGCTTGAGATCCGATCACTCAGAACGCTGCCCAGGTTTTAATATGTAGCTTCACAAAAGGACACACCAACAGACGGATGATAAACTGAAGGACAAACCATTGAAACGAGTGGAGAAACAGGGGTTTGGGTAGATGTGTTTTCTCCTGTAGACTCAAGACACATCTTTATCTCTGCAGGCGATGTTGAGATACATCAGGCCACTGTGTATGGCTGCTGCTGCTGCTGCTGTGGCTTTTCATTGCGACACACTGTAGCAGTAGTGTGGTATTTCTAAAGCTGAGACACCGACTGTGATCTTTCTAATCCAACAAAACACAAAATGAGAATTAGAACAGATGTAAAAACTGATGACTCCATCCAATTTATTTAAAGGCAAATGAACAAGTGAACAGATAATGTAAAAGATATGAGGTCGACGTTTCAATCCTTCATTTCCCGTGGATCCTTTGATTCTCTTCCCTTCATGTTTCTGTCATTTGCACTTTTTGATCTACAGCGGAGATCCATCTAAAAGATCGTCTCAGGACTTTCTAGAAGTTATTAAGAACAAACTGAATCGAACTCATATCTACTTATACAAGTACTCAATGGGAAGTTCACATTACAATAAAGGAATAAACGCTGACAGGACTAATTAACCAGAGTCAAGAATGTTTATATAATTGCTAAGATTTTATTTTTCTTATTTAGAAAAAACAAGATGACTGATTTAATAAAAAAACATTTGTTGGAACATATGAGTTACACGAACAACACCAGTCTGGTTATCACAATGATGAATTTTGCATGTTCTTTAAAACCACATCATCAACCTCAGGAAACAGTGCCAGATTAAACCCAGAGTAAATGCTTTCGTGGAGCTGGATTCAATCTAGTCAAAACTTTCAGTTGTATAAAAACACCTTTAACAATGACGGTAGTTGGGAAACAAAAAGTATTAAAAAACACTGGGATAACTTGAGTTTTAATTGTACAGTACAGTAAAAATTGTTGTTTTAGTTGAATTTTCATCCGTGAACAGGCGATGAAATGTCCTTTGCAGGATGTTGAGACAATCGAGGCTCAGTCGAGGCAGGATGGTAAAATCTTCCCCGCCAACAACCTGGTTTCCCCTCAGAAGCCACGCACTGAATGCTGGGATTCAGCAGTGGGGATGAGGCAGACCAGAGTGGTGTCCATGCAGCAGGGACGGCTGTATGAGGTGGGATAAGTCTGTATTTGACTGCTGGTGGAAAAAGGTGAATGTGGTTGCATGCCCCAGCCAGACGGCTGTGTCCAGCAGAGTAAAGTCCACCCACTCCAGCAGGCAGTGTGTGTGTGTCTGTGTGTGTCTGTGTGTTTGTGAGGAAACAAGGTTCACCTTGATGACACTGCACTAACCTTTCCTCTTTGGAGTCAACATGCACAACTGCTGCTTCTTTCCATTTATAACTACACTTGAACCTAATTTTTTTCTTCAACATTTTGTCAGAATGATTCTTCCTGATTCATGTTATACTGAGTAATGAATATTTAGTTCAACTGAACTTCCTTTGTCTCCATTTTGTGTCACTGTTCTCATGACGCAAGCAGGCGATGGGTGTATTCAGGTAACCCTGAACATCGTTTCTCTACAGATGTTTAGTCGGACAGAGATGGTGAGCGCAGGGATCTGCCGCTGGCTGGGCTGTTGCTGTAGGCGTGAGAGTTGTCCCTCTCTCGTTCCTTGTCCTTGCTTTCGTGCTTATGCTTGTGTTTGTGCTTGTGCTTGTGCTTTTTCTTCTTCTTCTTGTGCTCGTGGTGGTGGTGGTGATGGTGGTGGCTGTGCTCGCTGACGTGTTTAGACGAAGAGGAGGTGGTGTCTTTGGTGAAGGAGGGCACTGGCGTGGCGGGCATGGAGAGCATGGACTGTTCGACTGAGAGCGGCTCTTTACCTGAAAAGAGAAAGAGCACGGGAAGGTCTAAGTCGTGTTGTGTTTATTTGGTCTTTATTTTAAACATTATGTGTGTGTGTGTGTGTGTGTGTGTGTGTGTGTGTGTGTTTACCTGGTGTAGAGGGTCTTTCCATCAGATTAAGATGTTGGTGGATGAAGGCCTGACTATCATGAACAGTCTCCATATCGATATCTTCATCTTCCATGGTGTTAAACTACAGCAGAGCAGAACTACGTATTAATACCGTACGAGAACCACTTGTATATTATAGTATAATAAAGGCATACATGACAAAACGGGATCATTTCTTTGTGGATAACAAACACAAAGAGAAGCGAAAGATGCTTTACCCTGATCTTGTAGCGCCCCCCTCTGCCTTCGTCCTCCGGCTGCTGCAGTATCTGTCCTGGCTCTGGAGGGGAGCCCAGCGGGGTCTCAGCCTTCCTCTTCAGGCCTAAAGGTGGCTGACCCACGCCACACACCCCCAATGAAATAGGATCTGGCTCATCGTCAACCTGCCGATCACAAATGTGAAAACATAAACGTGTGGTAATATGGCTTTATTCTTTTTCTTTACAGTAGTGGTATATAAATAATGTGAGTCTGCAACACATTGGAAATAGTTCATATGAAATCCATCATCTATAAATGGAATTCTATATATATATACTATATACTCCATGTAAGAATTGAATCAGGTGTCACAGGCAAAACAACCTGTGTGTCAATCACAGTGATTCTTGATGAGAGCTCAACACACTGCAACACATGCACATAGACAAAACACAAGCAAGTTATGAAAATATGTGTATTTGCAACACACTGGTCTATTTGGTTGTGTTGTGTGTATTTGCAATGTGTTGTGAGTTTTTGCAGTATTTCTACATGTGTTTTTCTAGTTCTCAGGGCCACCAAAGATTGTGTGTATCTAATCAGTGCTGGCTACACTATACTGTGGTGGCCGTAATTACAGAGATCCTACCAAAGACAACAGCTTTTATGAAGTAGCTGCCATCTTGAAATTACAACGTGGCATTACTTATAGAGACCACCAAGTAGCTCACTGATTACATCAGCACTGGCAGAGAAACCAGTCATCTCCATGTTGTGTGACGTTGTGAGTCTCTAACAAATGTGTAGCTTTGCTGAAACTACACAATTTACAGTCAAAAATGAATGTTCTATTAACACTGAGATAACTGTCTCGACAATTTCTGCAATGTCCACACTAACTTTTAAAACAAAGATCTCAGTTCAGACCTGTCTTTTAGCTCCAGATCAGAAATCATCAAATGCACATCATATGACCATTGGACACAAGACGCAAACGTATGTATATAGCAAAGTTTATGCATTTCAATAGCCTGAATGATCCTACACCACTACACCATCTTCTCTCCCCTCTTTTCCAGCCACCCTCCTCCATTTTTCTGCAATCACCCCAACTGGTTGAGTCAGAGAGTTTTTTTCTTGTTGCTACTTCTTGTAGAAACTATTGGGTTTCTCTATAATATTTTAGAGTCTTAACCTAAGTGTGGAAAGTTCCTTGAGAAAATGTATGTTGTGCTTAGTTGCTGTACAAATAAAAAGGAAAAGAATTGAACCACTTACAGCTGTGTAACTCATGCCGACTCCATGGATACCTATACTGGCAGGTGTGTCCATACCACCACTGACCGCCAGCTCAGGCTTGATGGTTGGGTTGAGCACAGCTTTCTTCTCCTTCAGGTTGAGCACGAGGCCCAATTCTGGCAGCGGCAGACACGAAGGACGGGTAAGACCGAACAATGAGTAGTAGAGGTTCACTGCGTCGCAGCGTAGCCGCCAGTCATGTGAGGTACCTGAGAAAAAGAAAGAAATGACTGATGAGAAACTCCTGTAGAACTAAGATAGTGGCCATGTCACTGCAACTGGTTCAGTTAAAGCCAACGATCGGTGATGCATCTCTCCTGTCAAATGACAGGAGAGAGGAGTAGAAAGGAAAGTAGGAAACTTGAAGGAAGCTACATAGAG